GAAGGTACCCGTCTCCACTGCGGGGCCCAGCTCCGCTCGGTTGCTCCATGACTACGCAGCTCCACACCTTCACACGCAAATGGCAGAGGACTTGGTGACACGGATTCCCTTCCCGTGGGAGGATTCACTAGGCTGTTCATCCGGGGTCCAGCACAGAGCGCTGACCCTGTCCTTAGGGCCGCACGGAAATCCACTTAGATGGCGAAATGAGTTAGCCGGCGCGCGCACAGAGGGAGGGCCTTTCTGATCCCATCAGGCAAGGAGCAGGAGCGCTGTAGGTGGCCCAAATAAATCGCAAATCCGAGCCAGGCAAGCGCTAAATGTGTATTAAACCCGAAATCCGCAGAGAGAACGCATCAGAAACTGCCGGTGCCCCACACCACAGAAATCCAGGACACCGGGGTTCTGGCCCAGGGGGGAGTAACTGCTGTTCCCATCTCACGGGACACCCGGGCAGATGACACAACCAGCGAGAAGGTGAACCTGAATCTGCTGCCTCAGAGCAGTTCCCTGGGGTGGGGCGGGAGCTGGGCATTCCTTGTCTCTACAGTGCTCCTGGCACCGATACAGAGTCAACAGTGAGGTGTGAGCGTCAGAGCCTAACCCACAACCGGGCACTTCCTCGCTCTGAAGTGGGCCTTGGGTAAACGTTTTAACCGCGTTAATCCTCCAGGGGCCTCTCCAACAAGGTTGTTGCCACCCCTGACTCAACCAGGTGTTGACTGGAAGGCACTGACAGGCACAGGGCTTGGTCCTGCACTGACCTGGTGAGTGAAGGGTCAGTAAATAGCGGTGATACTAGTAGCCTTGAGTTTCTTTTGTTGTGACCTGTTGAGTGTTTACCAACTCCCCTGTGCTGAGTGCTAAGGGACCTAGCTGACAGTCTCTAGGCTAGGACCAAGAAGGAGCATCGTGGCAAACTCAGCCTACCAAACTAGCAACTCAGGATACACAAAATGAAAAGGCTAACTCCCAATTCTTAAAAAGAAAATAGAAGAGATAAATATTTGGAGCACTTTACATAATTTATTATTTTTAATTTAGATTTATTTTTAATTGTGAGCTATGGTGGTTCATTCCTTTCTCCTTCCATTTTTTTTTTTTTTAATCTGTATGGTGTTTTGCCTGCTTGTATGTCTGTGCACCATACACATGCCTGATACCCTCGAAAGCCAGAAGAGCAGTTAAAGACAGCTGTCAGCTGACATGTGGGTGCTAGGAATTGAACCCAGGTCCTCTGGAAGAGCAGCCAGATAGCTATTTCTCCACCCAGATTTATGGGTATTTTGTCTGCATGTGTGTAGGCATTCATGCGTGCCTGTGTTCCTCAGAGAACAGAAGAGGGGGCCACACCTCTGGAACTAGAGGTGCAGATGGTTGTGAGCCACCATGTGGGTGCTAAGAATACAACCCAGGTCCTCTGCATGAGCAACAGCTCCCCGGCCCCCAAAATAAATACAACTTTTTTTTTTTTTTAAGAAAGGAAAAATGGCTGGAGATATTATACTTCAGTGGCAAAGCCTTTCTCAGGCACGTATAAGGCTGAGTTCAATTCCTAGCACCAACAAAAGAAAAACCAGGCAAGATGGCTCTCAGTGGGTTAAGGGACCTACTGCCATGGCTGATGCTCCTGAGTTCAATCCTTAGGGCCCACATCATGAAAGAAGACAACTCCTAACAAGTCCTCTGCCTTTCAAATGCCCACAATTTCACATGTGCACACACAAATAATAAAGTGGAATCATCGTCGTCGTCATCGCCCTATAGGCTGCAGAGGCTCAGTGGTTCAGAGGTCCCAAGTTCAGTTCCCAGCACCCACATGGTGTTTCACGACAATCTGTAATTCCAGGTCCAAGGGAATCCAACACTGTTTTCTCGCTGCCTTGGGCATCAGGCACACGTGTGGTATAAAGACACACATGCAGACAAAACACCCATACACACAAAATTCAAACAAAATCCTACATGCTCAAAGGTTTACATGAAAGGTGACCATCTTTGGAGGTGCCAGCCATCTCTGGGCAAGCTCTGGTCCCACTGAGAACTGTAGCATGAAGCAGTTGTCACTCCCTTATCTGCCACGTGCCTAATCCTGCATTCCTAACAGCAAGCTCTCTGGAGCTACCAGAAACAGCACTTGAGCTGGATGGATGACTCACCTGCGCAGGAAGCCTGCCATTACCCATATTAAGCATGGAGAGGGATGTCAAAAAAAGACAGGCTGGGGCAGGAGTCATGATTGCCAAATGCATTAGTGCTCACCTTGCAAGTCATGGTTATTTCCCGATGAGTCAGTGACAGTCACTAAACCACACAGGTGGAGCTTGCTATCAGTCTCCCCTTTTATTGAAAATCCCGGAATCTGGCTGTGCACTTGCCAGCTGATGAATGTGAGTGGGAGTAATTGCACATCAGCTGGAAGTTGCTCTGCAGCCGCTAGGCTAGGCTAGGCTATGGGGCTCCTCCACCCCAAGTACCCAGGAGAGCCAGTGTCCCAGGAGAGATGCTGTACTTCCAACCAGGCCTCACACTTTCTCAGTGCAAAGAGGTCTGAGAAGAGGGGGGCGTCTTCCCAGAAACATAACAGTTTGTTGTTAAGACAGACTGGGCATCTGGGGATCCATTTCCTACAGGAAGACTACGCAGTACCCAACCCACTCTCTAACACCTACATTGAAAAATGGAAGCCGCAAAGACAGGGTTTTGTTTTGCAGCTTGCACACCAAACACCTTCAGTTCTGCTGCTGATACATGCTGCATGGGCCCTGGAAACTCCCATGGAACTGCCTGGTTTCTGACCACTGAGTCCTTACTGCCGTTTGTATAAGATGGACTTATAGAGGATTGACAGAAGAATTTCATCAGATCCAAGGTTCCAGAATGTTGAAACAGAGAGGCTGTTGCACAACTCTGGAATGGGATGAACAAGGGCAGGATAGTAGAAGATGGGTGATGGATGTGGAGGACTCATGGCTGTTAGGTGACTACATCTACGTTCCGAAACTTCTCTTGGTGGGCATCATGGAAAACGAGTTCATTTTTTAAAATTATAAAGTGTAAGCTGCCAACCCTCTAACATGGGAAGTTCTGACTGATGCCATGGTAACTGGGAAAGCTCATCCTGTGTACTGGGTGATGAGGTTCTGGAGTAAACTGCGAGAGTACCAAACAGAAAGGATTCCAGGGCTAGCACTAGTACAGAGTCCTATAACAGCCTCAGGGCCAGGAATGGAGAGATGTCTTAGTGGGTTAAGAGCATGTACAACTCTTGCCGAGAACCCCAGTTCAATTCCTGACACCCACGTGGGGACATTCACTTACCTGTAACTCCAGCTCCAGTGGGATCCAATGCTTCTCCCAGTAGTTAAAAACAAACAAACAAACTTTTAAAAACCTTAGGGCCACGTAGATAGTATTCCCAGTAAATAAACAGCCTATCATTTTGGCAGCAACCGCTACACTGAAGTTGATGTAGGAGTTATTGCCTATAGACCCAACACTTGGGAGACAGAGGCAGGAGAATCACTGCAAGCTCAAAGGCAATCTGATTTTTTTGTTTTGTT